AGTAATGCTCTTGTTATAGCTTCTTGCTACTAGTAGTAATGCCCTTGTTACTAGTAGCGATGCCCTAGTAGCTTTTTGCTACTAGTAGTAATGCTCTTGTTATAGCTTCTTGCTGCTAGTAGCGATGCCCTTGTTACCAGTAGCGATGCACCTTGTTACCAGCAGCGACTGCCGCAGGAGAGCAGTGGAGCCTTTGTCCCAAACGTCTTCATCGCACGCATTGGAAGCTCCATGTCCCATGCTCGGACGGGCGGCGGCCCGATGGCGGCCTGGGTGGCGGACGCCCCGTCGTCGTCAGACGGTGATGGGGCAAACATGGGCAAACGGATTAGGTTCCCACCTAATGCCATGCTGTCTACTATTAGGTTCCCGCCGTGTTTCCAACTGTGCATCATTTTGCTCAGAGAGTTGTTGGACCCAACACTCACCTCAAAACACCTTCTCGGGATGTGGTTATGAACACTGATCGAGTGCATTCCCACCGTGTACGGTGAGGGATGACCGTGGAGCTACTGCATGATCGTCCACATGGGCGGCATCCGAGCTCCGATCTGGTCAAAATTCATTGGACACCTATGGGACTTGGCTGCTGATTCGATCATATTCGAACTAAGAAGTCGCCCTTTGGGGTGCTAAAATGGCAGCAGGACATTCGAAGACCAGAGCCATCCAGAGCCCCCGTGAAACGACGCGGGGCCCGTATGTGAACGTATGGTTTCACGCGGGGCCCGCATGGGCCCGCGGGGTGTTGAACACCGCCCTGACAGCGATTGGGTGACTTGGGACACCCCATGATCAACCCAAATCGACCTTTCAGACCGCCGGTCCCGGCGGCTTTCGACCGATGTGTTGGGAGCCTCCTTTGTTTTGGTTACTGTATATCTGTATGTAAAATCTCCAAGGTTGCTGTGGGATTCATCAGAGTTGCAAAGATAAAAATATCGAACAATCAGAATCATGAAACATCCCGATGTTCATCGCACTCAGATACTTTGCCAACGCCTTCTTCATCAAGGAGGGGCGCTGGTTTCGTGATTTGTTTGTTTTCCGAAAGCAATAGATTCCAGCAGATCTAAGAGGGGGGGAACGCAGGCTCTAGATGCTGGAGAGTCCGGATCAGGGTGTATCGGGGGTGGCTTTCTCTAACTCTGAGGGATTCGGACTCGCAGCGTCCAGTCAAACATACAGTATCAGTAGCTGCGATAGGCGATAGCACCCAAACGATCAACAATCTCATTCCTGTTTTACGTGCACAGATTACTGTGCCATACTGTGCCAATATTGAAAAAATCTTCCAGCTTGTTGTGGGCTCTTGCTACCTGCTGATGCCATCCGGATTGCTTGAAGCTACGTAGCCAAGGTTCACCTCAAGTCGACATCAGAATCAGAACTCCTCTCCATTGGTCGTCGACTGGAATCTTATCGAATCTTCATTTTGATTTGTCGCTCCATTCGTACGCCCGCATCTGGTCAAGCGTGGTTGGTCCAGCTTGGTCGAGCCTTTCCCTAGACATGCCGCACCAAAAACACTCCTCACCACATCGTTGCTGTTTAACGGTCCAGATCCTAGCTCATCCCGGGACTGCAGGGGCGGGGTGTTGTGGCCACAACACCCTCCGCCGACACGCGTTGCACCCCAGGATTTGGCCACTAGACATAACTAGACCATACTGGCCCTGTTGCCGTGGGTCGCATCCGGGCTCATCCACTCCTCACGGCTGTGGCCATGGCAGGAATGGCTCCAAGAGCGCATCCGGGCGCTGGCGAGCGTGAACCGCACCGAATACATCGTCCTGGAGATGACCTCGGTGGCTTCGGGTGGGAGAGACGGTCGCTGGAACTGAGCTCGACCGAGGCCGGAGTCCGATTAGCCGGTCCTAGCCTGGTACCATTCTGGAGGAAATAACCTCCCCCCCAAAAAGAGCCGGCATATGCCCCTTATAGACTGTTCTGTACCCCAGTAGTGTCCCCCACACCATCCAGTTACCACGATGTGGTTCCAAACACATCCAAACCACTGGGTCGAACGAGGGCCCCTGGTTCCTTCGTGCTTTGCGGGATCCTCGCTTCTCCCCTTTTTCGCTCACCCAAACACACCTGGGTCCTGGCCGTCACCGGTCTCGCCTTCGAGCGGTCCCGTTCGGAAGAGGTGGTGAGCGTGGATTCCACGGCATTGCACGTCCTAGAGGCCCAACGGGACGGTCGTTCAGCGGCATGTAGGATGAGGAACGTGTCGGTCGTGTAAGTAAGGGGAAGTGTCTAATTATAGGTCGATGGTAGGTAGAGGTCGGTCGTTGTTCTTTATTTTTTCATGATGTGGATGCCTGGGTGGGGCCATGTGGAGCCTGTCTGACGATGGGGGCATTAGAAAGGACAGTCAGTTCTTTGTTCCGCTTTGAATACGGTTTGATGAGGCAAACGTCCTCATTTTGGACAGAAAGGGTGACCAATCTCAGCTGCAACTACTGCAGTTCTGCTGTTTTCCTGACTCAGAGTGCCGTAGCGAGGGCCCTAGGGACGCAGAAGAAGCCTTCACATGAGGAAGATGTGGTTTTCCGAGGGTTTGAGGAAGACAGAAGACTTAGCGATAGCTTTAGCCCTTGAGCTGTGCTTCATGAACGTCAACACCACCCCACCATACCCCAACCTTTCAAGTTGAAACAAGGCCAACCGCCAAGCAGTTTCATTGGCGTCAGCAAGAACCCAAGAAACGTCAACAAGGCCCCAACTCACCTCAATGTGGTCAACTGTGACACTCTCTCCATAGTGGCTCGGTGCAATTACCACGCAAGGAACCCTGGGTCTCATCCACCGTTTTTCCAGAACAGTTCAGGTGATGAAGCCTCATTTATACTATACTGTTGTATACTACTGTTACGAGGTGTTTGTGGCATCTCATGCGGACACCGTCCGACACCGTCCCGATGAACCCTCCGACGCATCGAACGAAGCCCATTGGATCTCAGCTCCACCGTCCGTGACCGTCCGTGAGCGTCCGAGACGGAGGCCCTATATAGCAGTGACGCAAAACCAGCGATTTACAGGCCTGTGACCTCAAAGGCGATCAAGTTTGGTGACGGAAGAACCAGGTATACTCGTGTCTGAATTCCATTTCGGACACGATTCCTCTCTCCTCGGTCGACAAACCCTCGTCTTCGGCATCACCGATCCGTCGACATCACAGGACCTGGTGCTGGACTTCCGCTCGCAGGGTGTGCACATTGCCATGGCCATGGTGGGCAACCGCCTCGACCGGACCGGACAAAGAAGGGAAGGTGCGGAAGGTGGGATGAGAATGAACGGAAGTGGGAGAACGGTTGAACCGGCCCAAACTTAAACCGGTGGAAGGAGCCCCAAACCGAGCAAACGACATAAGTCAAGGACCTCTGAAACGAAGTCAGCGAAAAAGAGCGATTGAAACATACCAGCACCTTCAAGTGGGTCACCAATTTGGAAGCCCCTACACTCCATTGGATACTCCTTGAAGGTCCAGGTATGCATTAATTTCTTTATGGCCAGTCTTATGGCCATCTCGCCGAAGGTAGTGCCCGGAGAATTGCACCATGGTATAGTGGTCCCCTAAATAGATAGTGGCACGGTTTCCAATACATTTTGAAATGGACTTTACTTTACTTTTCTATTTGGGGGTCTATAATGGTCTATATATATAATTCTACAATCACTGATCATCAATGATCACTTGCAAACATCAAACAGCAGCTTTCAAGCAGAAACTCATTGTAGCAGAGCCCGGTTTGAGCGGTCCAGGTGAATCCACCTCGTTTACGACGCTTCAATGCTTTGGAAGCTACCCGATTCCCAAAGGGTAGGTGTCTGCGCGCGCTGCGGTGCCGGCACAGTTTCCGCTGCATTCCTGCAGCCTGCAGACACGAAAAGTGCCCTCTCAGGTGTGTGGAAAATCATGTTCTTTAGCCATGGCAAAGTGTGTGAACATTCTGGTAGGGTCTTCATTCCAGGGCCTGCCTGTGAACCTAAGTGATCCTGCAGGACCTTCCGCAAGGCTGGCTTGACCAATTTCGTGGGGGGCTCAGCTCGGCATGGGGGGCATCGAAGCCCGCCAAAGCGGTGTTTGCTGACACATCGTGACCAGCAATTTCACGACTCCCTGATTCTCATTTTCGAGCGCCGTCCTGCGCGTGTTTGGATGTTCGGAACTTGCTGCCACTTGCAGCGCTGCTCTCTGGTGATTCTCAGCTTCCAGGGGTTTTGGGGTTTGGCCCTCCCTTCAACCCTTGCCCCCCCGCAGCCTTGGTGAGGCTCATCTCGACCCATCAAGACCTCCTGGATTGACATGGATTGACCATCCGATTGACCTCGGAGGTGTCGATTTCGTCCTACTTTCGGTCCCCCCAAACGGGCCAACACTGGCTGAAAACTCATGCCACATGATCTACGCTGGCACCAACACTTGAGTGTTGGGTGTGGGGAGGGAGGCAAGGTGTTCGAGGGCAACCTGCTTTGGGCTTTGGTGACATGTTGATGGAACGAAAAGGAAGTAGAAAAGAACGAATCTGAAGGTCTAACAAAAAAGGGAAACGATAAAGCAAAAAGAAGGAAAAAGGGCCTCAAGGTCCAAAGAAAACAGGAAAAGCAACAAGAAAAGAAAACACTGAGACGATGAGAGTGTTTAAACTTTTGGCTCCAACATCGCAGCCCTCGACCACTCGACCACAGCATTTGGTAGTTCGGGAAGACTTGGTTAGTCAGTTGGGGAGTAGGCGAAGAAGAAGGTACATGGCTTATATACATTTATATACATGGCCCCGAAGTTAATGAATTACATGCATGATCATTGAAACATATCGAATCAGATTGAATCCTATTGATGTCATGTATCATTTGTGTGTTTACTGGTGTGTTTTTTCGCCAAAGAGATTGCTCTGTGTGTTTTTCTCCCCCGCTTGTATAGTTGGTGTGTACCCTGGTGCTCCACTTGTTGAATACATTCCAGAACTGTAGATCGTAGCACCATGTAGAATCATTGAAGCAGACGCACGTCTAAACGAGACGGTCTCAATGAAAAGCAAACAGCACCAACGACCCGAAAGAACATGAAGCTCCCATTAAGTAGGTCTATGGATCCACATACCGAACCTGCGGTACGGTGAGCAGGGAGACGAAACTTTTGTCGGGGCCAGCCATTCTCGGGGCCAGTCTTACCGTAACTGAGGTACGGTGGGAGTGGATCTACAGGGAAGGTATCTGAGGTTTACCAAAGGACGTTCGTCTTCTTCTACTGGACAATGCAGCTGTTTTTTTCTTGGTTCATTTTGGAACTCCATTTTGGGTCTCCAAAAGACATTCGTTGAAGCCTAGAAGATCTAGAAGGAGGCGCTCTTGGCACATTTGAGGTGGATTTGTCTTGACATGGCACATGCCTTCGATGGCATGGCCAAGTCTTCGGAGGTTGTTCTCCCTTTTTTTTTTCATTTTAACATATTTATACTATATATATATACCGCCTGGAACATCCTCGAACCCAGACATGACTTTGTTTTGATAGGAAAAGCCCATATTTGGGGTGGTTGGTGGTCCAGAGGTCATTGAGGTTCCAGGTATCTCTTATTGCCAACCACGAACAAAACATCGCTCGCTCGCGCTGAGAGGAGGAAACTCGAACAGAGATCCCTTTTCGCCCGAGCGGGTCGCTTTCCAGATCGGACCTTCAACTCCGCGTCGAGACGCTGCCGAAACGGGCCTTTCAGGGCCATTCAGCAGCTCCGAATTGTTGCTTCGGGTCTCTGGCACGTCGCCCAAAACCCGACCGACCTGCGTCGCCCAGGTGGGAGAAAAATGGTTCTTCCCCAGCGTGCACGATGCGGTGGTGGGCTGCTTGCGCCACCAAAAGGCAAGGGCGAAGTTGGTGGGCTATTTTTTTCGAACTTGCGCCACCAAAATGTAACGTGTTGGCATGTTTTGGCCATGAAAGGGTGCAACCTTATCCGTCTTCGAGATGGCTCACAAATGAGACATGCTGAGGAGGTCACCTACCTTGGCGGAGTCCTGACAAAACAAAAAGTGAACATCGCGTCCAAAATTTCCTGCAGAACTGCTTCGAAGAGTCTGGATATTTCTGGAAAGAGGCGCAGTGCAGCTTGAGAAACAAATCTAAATCAAGTTTCCTTTATGCTCTAGAGACCCTGGAGATTCCAGCTGGTCTCTTTTTGCGCTTGGAAGCAGGCCTCTCCTATCAAAGTTTTATTCAGATGTGTTGGCAGGCCACACAAACAATGGACCTACAATACCTTGGCATTGATTTGGAATCATATCCGTCATAGCGAAGTTGACTTTAATTAATAGCGCTCGAGAGCAGCTGGTTCAAATCCTCGATACAGCCAACAGGGAACAATGTTGAAAACCGCCTTTACCAGGTTGATACCTGGACTTGGAAACTAAATCGGCTCTAGTTATTTTTTTTTCCGATGTTATATATCCAGTTCCTTTACTGATGGGCATGAGGGGCGCCTACTCCGGGTGTGGCATTTATCCTTTTGCATGACTTAGTTTCACACGTTTTTCTCAGCCCCGTACCTATGGTAAAGAAGAAGAAGAAGAAGAAGAAGAAAGATCTAGTGTAGATCTAGTAGGACCTGTTCCATGAAGTTCTTTCATGCCTTTCATCTGAAGATGGACGACCTACCTGTCCCAACGAAGATGTCGAAAGAGCCTCTGAGACGTCACCGGAACAACTTCAGCGTTGGGTCGGCTCGGAATTCGGTGAATCCATGGCTGGCTCCGTTCACCCACCGTGAGGCAAACAGCGTTAGGGTGTCTTCTTGCAGACTCGGGGTGTTCGGGGAATCCAAACATCGAAGACTTCCTTTAAGAAAAAGGATATCATTATACTGTAAATGGGGCGGAGGAAGGTCAGCATGATAGGATCCAGTGTGTGGCTGTGTTTATGATCATGTCATGGCCACTTTGCAGTGTTAGATAAGGGCAAGGGTGAAAGCTAACCGCAAAACACCCATCACATGGTTGTTTGATCGGGTCTCCAGGTCAGATGAACTCCAGACTTGCGCATGGTTGCACATGAGGGGTGCATCGCAGGAGTCACAAGTCGGGGTGGTGTTGAGTTCGTGGACGTGACTTGGGCACCCCTAACCTCCATGGCTAGCACCCGGACATAGGACTGCTGGTAGAGGAACATAGGCCAAGTTGTGTGGCGTTTGTTCTTGGGGTTCTTGACCCTCGTTCCACTACATCCTCAGGCGAAGCGGAGGTTGCTGGCCACTCGCAGTGTTGGCACCCGAGCAGCTGCAAATGTGTTGGATTCTTTTTGGTGGGATGGACCAAAGGAAATATATACAAACTACGTTACTGTAGGCCGTTAATTACTAAGGGGACTAGATATGGGAAACCAGGGCTTGTAACCTATGATATCAGTACCCCACTTCTTCGGGAAGGGAAGTGGACCTTGGCCCGAAACTCCGCTAGCTCGCGCATTCCACGAACGATCTGCATATATGTATCACTTGGAAAGCAGATTTGTCGATCGCCAATAGGGCGGTGTTTCGCAGAGGTGAAGAGTTTCCACCCGTTTTTGCCACGCCGATTTTGGTGAAGTGATACATGCAGGTTTCCCCGCTACTTGAAGTCTTACTTGGAGTCGACCTGATCGCCAAAGGACTCCAGCGCGATCTAGCACCGCGCCATAACAGTTTCCATTGGTGGGGCGTTGGTGTATCCTTTGCACCTTGCGTTTTTATCGTCTTCGACTTCATTGACCAGGACCGAGTTGCTCCGATCGGACCGAGCTTGGCGCAGAGGTTCTCAGCAACTCCTTGGCCGGTGCGACCGCCAGCACGGAATGCAGTCCATGCGCCCAGAAACCGAGTCCACGTGCTGAGAAAAGACTGGTCGCCGGAAAGCGGAAAGACGGACTCCGGACACCTTTGTGGTGTAGAGCTTGGATAGGATTGGACAGCAAGACTATTTCCCCCCCTGTCTTCCCAAGAGCCCTAAGAGCTAGTCACCATGATGACCAGATCTGGTGTGGAGATGTGTGGATTGGATGGCATTTGCTCTTCTGAACGCCCCTGGGGTGCTAGGGTAGTGTAGGGTGCTAGGAAGACACTTTCAGATGTTCTATCCCCGAATTTGCTTGATGTGGACCTCAAATGGTATATATGTGGTTTCATCTCGGATAAGAAGTACTCTCTCCAGAACTTACTCTCGGAAACAGTTGTTCAACATGTTTCAACTAACTTCCTGGTGCATGCTCGGCAACTTACTCGTATGTTCACAGCGTCCTAAAGCAGTCACGGCGAGTTACTTAATCGGGTAACGCTCCTGATTCCTGACTCCTGACTGGTGCTTAATAGGGAATGAGATGGAATGAGGCTTCATTCACCTCCACTGTGGCACCGAGTAGGGGAACGGATCCAACCACGCACCGCAAGCGTGAACGTTCCAGGTGCCTCAGAGGCGGCCACCGTGCAGACCGACGCTCAGTCGGGAGCCCGGCACGGCCCATGGACCGAGCCCCTTAAAGAGGACCTCCAAGAGTGTCTTGGGGCCAGGGTAGATGCATGTGCATATGATCGACAACATGTTGGCTTACATTTCGGAGGTGAAGAAAAACAGCGAAACATGTTCGCTTTACATGCTCCAGACCCCTCAAGAAGATGGTAGGGATGGTATATGTGGGTATGCACGTCGTATTATATTGTATGCAATGCTGTCCTTTGCCCGTTGTCCGTGGCCGAATCGAATTGGAAGGGAGGTGACTCTGCACAGGGCTGGCGGGGTTGAGTCCGGTTCTAATCGCGTGGTGCGATTCGGCCAGATCGATCCAGATCTCAGGCGACATGCTTTGAAGCGTCAGATCTTCCATCCGTAGATCCCTGCACCCTCTAGGTCTGATGTGGAGAAAGGGGTGCCAGAGCTACCATGGAGCCGAAGCCAAGAGGCCGAGAAGAGTGGGAAGCACAGAGGTTGTTGCCCATCTCTCCAATCCAAGATCTTCAGGTAAAGCGTGCTTTCAATGTGTGGCTAGGTGATTTGTGGAGCAGCTTGCTTGCATTTTGTCAATCAGATATGTCACGACATGTCATGCTTCTTCCTGAGTCTTCCTGGCACTGGAAGTAGTGAGCGCCTAAACCTTTTGGTATCTTTGTAAGTCTATCAGATATTGTAGGTCGGGCAGAGAAGACAACTACCCTCCCTCCAACCATCATGGAAGTGGTAAACGGCCTGTTAGACCGTCTTCCAAGGATCCATGGTCATCCATGGTCCACGGTCCAGCATGTTTGGACGAAGGGCATCTCAGATCTCAAAAAGACTGGTTGGTTGGACGGTCCCGGCGGGCTTGGACGGTCCCGGCATCCTTTTTGGCACCTGGATAGTGCCAGGACTTGCTCCATATTGAAGACAATCCCGTGACCGTGGGCAACGAGATTGGTGGCTGGAAAGAAGGGTCAGTTGTTTGATGGCACCCGTGGCACTGGCGCCAGGAGCTAAAAGTGGTGGATCAACTTAAACAAGTTATGACCAAGTCTCAACATTAATGTTAATGCCGTAATGCTCTTTGCCCTTTGCGGATGCCAACCTGGTTGATTGAGTACCATCTTAGTTTTGATTTGCCACTGTAGATGTTGTCCACAAGCGCGTCATATACTGACACCTTTTTGGGGCTTGGTACATGCTTGGCATCAGGTTTGCCAGAAGATCCAATGACGGTTACTTTACTTCCGAAGTTGGTGAATGGATAGGCATTCTCTAATTAGGACACTGTCCATGCCATCGGCACCGGTTGGTCATCCAACCATTGTGGGATTCGAAGTCCTTTCTCAGGGAGGCATGTATATATATAGATAGTAGTAGAGATAGTGTATATATATAGTTTGGTCTGAGAGTAGGCTCCATGAGATAAGACTCGAACTTTTATGGTAGGATTGCAACTCTTCCAGAGATGACTAAGAGTAGGCAGCATCCTATAGATTCGCAGAGATCCAAGCATACCCAAACATGCCCAAGCAGTCTAGATCAATTGACTTTCTTTCCAAGCACCTCTTTGCAACCCTGAGCTCTGCTTGCAGAACACCCAGAACACTCAGAACGGGAGCTGAGGGGGCTCACAGGGGGCCCAGAGGCCCAGCGAGCCGAGGCTACAGTAACGATGTGCATCATTCCTGCACTGTGATCTTCATCAACCTAATGGAGGTCGGCCGTCCGCTGGACTTGGCTGAAGCTTCAGATGGATGATGGGAACGCACACCGAAGTACGCACATTCAACATGATAGGGTACCCCTCTTGTGGACGTTTGTTTTGAGTACGGGCGGTACGGGTATGGGCATGGAGTAGTTGCAGAACCCTTCAACCAAGGCCAACAGGCGGTGCACAACGGAGTAGTTCTACCTGGTCATTTCGGAGTAGTTCACATGCCCTGGTCATTCCATTCAGTTCTTCGAAATTCAGGACGTCCCAACCATCATGAGCGATATCACGGCCACTTGGTTGCAGCGACCTGTTTCGCCGTCGATGGAGCAGCATTTGATGTGTAGCGGTGGAGGATGGAAGTCACCCCCTTCCGCCCCGCAACTGGCGCGATGTTTCACGAACCAAAACGGCCTGTGTCCACACACACCCTGAAGCCAACGTTGCTTCGGTCATCTTCCGTCCAACTGGCTTTGAATCAGTTCCCCCCGGGCTCCGTGGCCCGACACGACCGCGGGAGAGCGCGGCGGGGGCGCACGTGCATGGGTCCCATCACGTCCGGACACCGGAACCGAAGAGAAACCGATGACTTGGTGGTGAAATGGCCTCAAGCAGAACGAAATCCGGCCAGCTCGGGGGGTCAAGTCTGAAACACGGATGTATCGAAGTTCACATGAAGCCAAGATGGATGGATGGATGGATGGATGGATGCATGGATGGATGGATCTGTAATTTCAAATTTCATCACCCTCGTTCATGAAACGACCCTTTGGTTTGATGCGTCGTGTGCTGAGTTAACAAACAACGACGGTGTGCTGATGAGCATCGTTGGACATCAAGAGACCGCTTCCGCGCGAGTCGCGACTCCACGCCGGTGTCCGAGGCGATTTTCCAACGGCGCAGGGGTGTCCCAGGGGTGTCCGAGGCAGATGCTTTGTTTCAATCATGCAACATGTTTTTAAAAAAGGGCCAGAAATAGAGGCATTCCAAGCTGCCAGTCCAAGGTGCTTTTTGGGTTTGACATGGTTTGACTAAACAACCATGAGTCAAAGACATTTTTACCATAACATATACTGTATCCCATTTGTCACCCTTTGGAATGACTACAACGGTAACATATTGCGCTTCAAAATCTTGCGACAGATCAGATAACAAATTGTGGAGCTTCCACTGTGACGGGTTCCTAGATGTGTTTGCTGGATGTTGCTTGGATTCTCCATTTGTGTAAATCGCCTCGGCCTCGGGGTGAATGGCTTCGCTGGGAGTTTGTGACGTGGAAATCGCTGTGTGCCGAAGACTAAGACCGAACCTACCTACCGTCCCGTCGAATTGACCCAAACTTCAAACTGTTTTTTTGCTCCAATGCCTTCTGCCTGCTGCATGTCTTTTTTGTTTAATGCGGCCTCCCGAGAAAAGAGCTGAGCCAGGCCTTGGTTGGTTTATGACCTTGCTCAGTTCGATTTTCCCTACCCAAATCCTTTTCCAATTTAGCGTACCACCTGCACCTACTACGGCTCTACGGAACACTTGTTGTTTTTTGGTGGCTGAGCAACTTCTCAAGGGAATGGAATGGGGTTACTGACACTGTTATTTACACTCCCTGAAAATAATCATGGAAGTGAAACACCACCTGAACATTGTCATCCAAGGGGCTATGCCATCAACGTAACCACGATTCTTTCAGGGAGTGTATAAGTGTATACAGTGGCTTTCTGTTATGGCATAGGGACACAAAGGGGTCGCTTGGACGTTCTTTCGGGAACCGAGAGGACTTCAATTCTTATGCCTTTTTGTCCTTCTGAGCCCCTTCGATGATGGGAAGAGGATGAACGTCCTGTTTTCCCCGGCGCCCAAGGAGGTCTTACCATATGCCGTGCCAACATCGAGGACTGCGGTATGGTGTCCGATACAGTGGGTACAGTGGATTGGTCGGACGTGGGCAGCCCAGGGCAGTCTTGAAGCAACGGATAAGGAACTGAAGGGCCCGTGTTTTTTTTTGTGTATTTATGTTTGTATTCTCTCTGGTGCCATAAGCATTGTTTCATTGAGCCAAGCCAAAATGCAATGTCCACGATGATTGAGAAACCGTGAAGCCGTTTGCTTCGCTTCTATTGGCAGTCGATGGAATGTTTGGCATTCCCACTCTAGGCCCTCCCGGGTTTTGCAGAAGGCTTCGAAGCAGAGGTCGCTTCAGGTTTATACACGATAGTACATCCGACCCAGTGGCAGAGGGTCCCAGCATCCGAAGCGAAGCAGTTGTCGAGTCCACAGTCGACCATAGTCAAAGGCCAGATTGGACCGGAGATGTGGGTCATTGGCACCTGGGAGATGGTCGGGGTGACCACCTACCTCGGGTCGTGCCGGGCTCCAGGTGACCTACAGCCTTCCGTTCGACCTTTAAAAGAAAGGTTGACCTGTTGTAGTGTCAACACTAAACCAAGGTTGTTCGGTGGACTCTGTGCATTCCATGACCTTCGTTGTCTGACTTGGGAACATGTGGAGTCGCCATCGGTCCACTGATTTCTGTGCCAGCCGTTTTTTGTCGTTTGTTTGTCCCAGAGAACGGTGCCAAAGACTATGATTGGCTGGGCTGTCGCCGCTCTGAACTAAGCGATGATGGCCCTCTCCTGCCAACTCCATTTTCTGTCTTTAGACATTTCATGATGCTCCGTACTTCCAGGAAGGCTGGAGACATCTCTTGTGATCCCTGAATGGTTCAGCGCCATTTTCCGCGTCCCTCCAGAGTCTTGCTTTTGGGGCACGGGGGCGCGAGAGCGCGAGACGTCGGGGATGGGTCGGATGGGGCGAGCCGGGTGTTTGGCTCACCGCAGGCCATGGGTGATGACGGCATGAGCACCATGTGCGTGGCACGGCCACGTACCTTGGCAGCGAGGGCGTGGAACTGTTTTCGCACCGGCTTCCATAGAGCAACAGGCTGCTGGTACTGCTAAGATGGAGTTGCCACCGATAATTAGCCCCGCAAAGGGTTTAAAACATTGCTGTCATATGCTGTCATGTACTGTATAGTTTGCTTGACCTCTTCTAGTTCTAAACTCTGCTCAGCCGTCCCCGGTGGTACATGATGCGTCTAGGCCAGCCTGGCCATGACGGTTTAAAAAGTGATCCAAAAAAGAAGGCCTTGAGAATATTCACCTTTGGTGGGTAGAGGAAGTTTGATGCTTATCTTGGCGGATTTACTGGTGGTAACAGAAGCATTGCCTCACATTGCCCGGAAACTTATTGGTGAACTGTCTTATTATGACCTCCCAGTCATGTTCTACTGCGTCAAGCGCCGGAATGCAGGACCCTCTCCCAGAAGCCAAGCTTCTCAGACATTCCATGCCTTACTTCTTGGATTTCCCTACCCTAGGGATCCAGTCGTACCGAACCTCAGAAGGCACGACTGGACCCTCCTGGCACCCACCCCAGTCCCACCGTACCTGAGAAGGTACGACTGGATCCCTGGGGCTAGTTTGTTGGTGGTGTAGAACAAGACTTGGATGAATTCGCCATGCGCCACTTCATCCGATACTTCACGATCCGGTCGACCTCCGGAGGTCATTCCCGGTCGTTCGAAATACCACAGCCCCGTTTTGGCCCCTTTTTTCTGGTGGAGCAACGAAATTCAGGCTCCAACCTGAAGAGAAAGCCGACATAAGATCATAAGATACTCTAAAAAACTGGAAAACCACAACTCTGCATATACAACCAAGACACATCTCAAAGCCAACATCCAACAGCAATGCTAGCTCGGGTCTAAGCACGACCAGCGAGGGCGTTCAGCAGCTTGGAGCTAACAAAGCGAGCAACCGCAGCAGAAGAACAAACACACATAAGAGCAATATGAGCAGGGAGAAACGAGCTAAAAGAGCCAGAACATATGAGGAAGCTGATGAGGTTGATACAAGTCTAGGTACACGCGGCATAGATGGCCGCTTGTTTTCTGTGGATTTTAGCAGAATCCATGACATGATTGTTAGCGGGGCCACTGGAAAGAGTACGATGGTGCTTCAGTGGAGAAGGAAAGATGGATCCGAAATCCCATAGAACAGCGGTTCAAGGGATTCTTGTGAGGCGGCACACACACACACACACCTTTTTTGTTGTTCGTGTTGCGTGTGAACACTTCCGAACCTCCCTAGAGCTACGGTTTAAGGGTTTCTCACCATCCATGTGCATCCCATTTTGAGGAGTTTCTGCAGTTCCAGCAAGAAACCGACTCTGGCATTTTGCCAAACACATTTTGGTGTCATCCACTGAAAGCACTTTTTTGGCATCTTTTGGCATAGCACGGATTCAGCACCATTGTTGATAACACACTCACACAAACAAATTACTCCCCACACCCCAACGAAAACGCCCGATCAAACGGCTTTGCACAAATGTGGAAAATCAAAGAAAAACCATGTATTTAAAGTGTTAAACAGGCACAACATGTTCACCTAAACACACGGAAACACAAGGTGTGAAGCGTGCTCCAACTACAAGGACAGATAACAGTCTCAAAATACACGGCCGATTAAAATCAATGTCAATTCCCCGAGGATCATCCAACGAAAACTTCTTGGCGTTCCAGGTCCCAGAGCAATTTGAATGAACTGTTCTGCTTTAGCTGTTCTCGCTGTTCTCCTGTTTCCTTTTTTTTGTCAGGTATACTTGCAATATCTTGCAATGCTGATTTTTGCATTGCCCCCTTTGTTGTTTATTCATGTTCTTGCCCTCCAAGTCCCTTGTGCGGTTTTAGCTCATTTTTGCTTGATGTTTCTACCTTTTGTTCGCTCTCTTTCCTTCTCATTTTGTTTGTCCGTTTGTTTGCTTTTCGGCCAAGGTTGCTGTTCATTTTCCACATTTGTGGTGGTTTAAGTTCATGTTATTCACAGCGCTTCGCGAAGCCGCCCGCACGGAGTGTGTGCGTCTGTTCGGGCAGGACACACGGAAGAACACACGCACGATGTCAATAGTCTGTCTCGGTCGGTCTGGGTGTCGGTCTGTCTGCCTGGCTGGCTGGCTGGTCTGTCTCTCTGTGTCTGTCTGTCTCTCTGTGTCTGTCTGTCTCTCTGTGTCTGTCTGGGTCTGTCTGGGTTTGGTCTGTCTCTGTCTGTCCCTGTCTGGGTCTGTCTGGGTTTGTCTGGGTGTGTCTGTCTGTCTGTGTCTGTCTGTCTCTGTCTCTGTCTCTGTCTCTGTGTCAAAAACCACATGCGATAGTTCCCCCAAAAAAACATCAAAAACCACATGCTCAATACCATTCACCGCATCCAGTCGGACTGGGCACACGACCGAACACATCCACGATGTCAATCGTACAGTATCCCACGGCTTGCCTCGACGTTTGCGATTTCTGCGATGTCCGTAATGCACTCTCCCCCGGCCGACAAAACCGGCATCGCATATCCATAGTGCGGTGCCCCTTGGCTTTCCGAGACATCTGCGATGTCAAATATGCGATCTGGCCCGACCGCATAAACTGCATCACCAACGTCTGGTCCAATTTTGATCAATTTTCAAAAACATTGAAAAGCACAGCATTTCTAGAAGAAAAATGCCCCCCCCAAGCTAAAGCTTAGCATTTATCTAGCCGGATTCCTTGCAATGTGTATGTACTCGAGCTGACACAACGCCCTCGGCACCTCCGGTGCGGGCGGATTTTGTTGGTCAGTGTTTTTGTATTTGTTGTTCTTGTGATTTCCAAGTCTAGAGTGGTTTTGCGTCCCATAATTCTAGATGCGGGTCAGGAACACCTGTATGTCTGGTACATATTGAGTAGATCATAGTAGATCGAGCTCGCCGAATCAACAAAACTTTTGGTAGTAGTGGATGCTTTCTGGATTGTGCATGTATTGCCTAAGATATGCTACAGTTTCCTATTTCCAGCGGTCACTACCGCCGACAGCAAATGGTCTGTACATGGGGAGATCTCGGAGGCAGTGAACTTTGCTCTTGCATCTCACAACGCTCACCAGCTGTTCTTGGTACTGTAGGTCTCCCTGTAGACATCTGAATCTACCCCATGCGACCATGCGATCTGTCACCGAAAGGGACAGAAACTAGCCCTTGCAAAGCATGCTTTTCTCAAAAAACACTTTCTTGACGACTCACTACAATCATCTACACTCACAAGAATGGACTGAAAGGCCCTTTCCAGGCCTTGAACCCTTCCGAATCTGAGACCCCGGTCCGCTCGGTGAGCGACCCAGGCCGTGCAGCTCATGTCTACCATGTGCGCAGCCTGCGAAGCCATGGAAAGCTTCAGGCGGTGCCGTGCCAAACGTTTTTCACGCCATGAGAAATGCCATGCCATCGCCCAGGGCACCCAAAAGTGATAAGAAGCCTAACAGTCAAAGACGAGTGTTTCGCGAGGCAAATCCATTTTCTGTGGAAGAGGTTTGCTTTTAGAGATGGTGTGAGGGAGGGTAAAGAAACCATCAATTGTTGTGAACTTCGCCTGCAGTTTCTTGTAATCCTGAGATGGGACCAAGGTGTCGGAAAAAACCGAAGAGACGACAGGTCATCTCACCATTTCTTTGGTGACTTGGTGATGGCTAAGATCCCACCAGATCCCACGCCAGGCAGTTTACGAACATGTGGACGACTAGGTCAACGACCTAGCACACCCAAAACGAAAACGGTGAGCATTTTACCATCTACAAAGTATATATATATATATATCATTACTCCGTTTGGAAAGCACAACATGGCTGATCCAGCAGCCACCCGATCGCGTCAGGATGAGGAGCTTCTCGACCTCAAAGCAGAGTTGAAGGCAGGGCACAATGGCCTCAGAAGAGCATCCCACGTAATGAGTTCCATGTGACCATGTGATGTGTTCGCCGCATCCAAACCCCTTGTTTGCTCCGAGATGCTCACATCAATACATAGGAAAGGTGACCGAGGCACAGCAAAACACCGGACGGTGCACACTAAACAAGGGCATGGTGACAACAAGATAATGTATACCCACTACGGGTGCGTATTCAGAAGGAGATCTCCCATAGACCAAGACCCATTGGTTGGGGACCTTTAAACTACAATATTCTTCAATATTGTATTGATATTAGAATAAAATATACTGTAAACAGATAGGGTTTTGAGGGTCCGGACCCCTGCTATGGAGGGTCCGACCCCTGCCATGGAGAGCCCAAGGATTCTTAGGGATATCTTAGGGATATATATATACATCATGTATATTGTATTATTTTGTAGTTCCCTTCAGCAATTCTTGGATCCACTGAAACTTCGCACGTGGCACATTGTTCGGCCAAGTGTCCTCCAACCCCAGGCGCTCATTCATCATCACATGCATCGCCCTGACCTGGAGTTGTGCCGGGAAGCTAAGGCTGTAAGGACTTTAACTACATTTCAACTAGCACGACTGTAAAGACAACTCATTCGGGTACATGGCAGGGTATATTGGTTTACCTATGCTTACCTTGCACAGGTTGGACTTCTGCCAGAATCCACAAGCCTGATGGGCTGCACACGGGCCACACAGGTTACCTGGTTTGTGGCTTCATCCCGCGTCCTGTGGCGTTCTCAAGTCGTTCATTGCGGGAGTTGTCTTCGCTAGCGCTTGCACAGGTTGGAACCTGAGAGGCGACCTGGTCATGGGATTCGCCGATGGCGTTGTTTTCTCTTTACCAAAGAACCATGTTTACCCATGATTCAACCTCAAATCATAAAAAAACCATGGAAAGAGTTGGTTTCATTTAGCCTAGAATCCACATCGGTCCAGGCTACAAAGGATTCTAGGCTACAAAGCCAGGTCAACCATTCTTTCGATGGTCAAAGTGAAGGCTCTGGCGCCTTCGTGTCACGAAGGCAGAAGAGTCAGAAGAGGTATAATCGATTTTCAAGTTCATGGAAGCAGAACGAACCCCAGAAAACCCCCTCCATGGTATTCGAGTTTCGTTCATTCCTTCCTTGTCACACTGGGTCGTCCAACACGGAACAAAAACCTCCCGCCAAACGATCCCCCCAACAGCAGTGGCGGTCCAACAGCAGGCGCGCACTGCTTCGCTGAGGATTTTTTGATGTCCAGTCTTGTCCCAGTCAACACCCGATCCAGCATGGCGCATGGCCCATTTTTCTCGAATGGTGTTTTTTCGGTCGGGGTTCACCCCTGCAGCCCTTCGTTTGGGGATGACATCGATTAGAGATGATATGAACATCGTCTTCCTGGTCCATTTCCCACGGGGGGCTCCAAAGAGAGGCAACACGTGATGCACGTCCAACAAGGAAGATGGTTCTGGCCCTGTGGACTATAGACAAGAACAGGGCCAGACGTGGAGACGGAGAACCCCCTGATGCACCGACTCTTGAGAATCTGAATCTGGCGGCACCAACTCAAAGCCAGGACTATGCAACAATGCAGGATGAATGGGAACGACCAAGTGACTATGTTAGGTCAAACATCCCGGTTTCGCTAATATTCCTGTAAGGATGAACAAGTGTTTGTTGCCGATCTGGCATTTACCAAATTGAATCTATCAGATTCCTTCTATCAAACTGGATAGAAAGCAGGTTTTCAAAGCACTTTTGGCCAAGAAAGCTGTCCCCATCTGTCCACCGACACAAAACCGCCCGGCGATCGCCACAGAGCAACGCCTGAAGTGACTGTGAAAGATTGAGCGACCAATCCAAGAAGAGATCGGATCGCGCAGCCGGTGCACCTTGAACCACTGCTTTGCTTTGAAGGGATGAAAAGGTCTTCCGTAGACTGCAGTTTCCACATAGACTGACCAGTCCATGAATATCTCTCAAACGGTTCAAAGCCTTGCATCAGAAAACGCCAAAGTCGCTTAGAGTATAGATCTCTATGTAAATCTGCAAACAAACCGAAGCTGATCCTGAATCCCAATAGCGAGGCCAGGCAGAGACTAACGCTGAGGGCCGGACTCAACCAAGTTGCGTGTTGTATCACGCCACTACAGTTTTGTTGGCGCCACATTTGGCATAGTTGGAAGATCCAGGTATATCCACTGCTTTGCATGATTCGGAGTGACCGGTTGGGACGTCTCAGCTCACCGGACGGGTTCGACAGATCGGCCGAAGGCTTCAACGGAGTGGGCTTGGTGTCGGTTGAGTTCCACTCAGTTGGTTTGGTCCACCGGTGTTTATAGCTCCACCACGGAGCTGCTTTTGGCGACGACGTCAGAAGCCAATACTAGAGCAAAGAGCTAGGCCGGCAGAGCACCCGAGAAGTTTGTAAGCAAGAACAGCTGGGAACAGGAGTTGTTCTTTTCTTTGGCAGACTTGCGGCTTCCTTGCGGTGTTCTGTGAATTCGACGACAAAACCCTGAATTCATGTACAGGGGTCGGGTGCTTGTCACTAACTGATTCAGTGGCGTGGGAGGCCTTGGGTCCAGCAAAGGTGCCGATGCTCTTTCAGCAGATCTCCAATGGCTGACCGCTCGAAGTGTGACCGTTCCCATGACTGTGAGCGGGAATGGAGTATCATACAGCATACACACATTAGGATACATTAGGGATGAAAAATGGGGCATACTCTGGGGTGTGCATGTATGTACTCTCATGCAGATTGGAACCCCAAAACTACTGAACCCATTGGTCTAACCGGAACGTCGAACCCACCGGTCTTCCTGGTTCCATGGGATCGAGCAACAGAGCGACTCCCTCTTTCGGTCCGATGGAGTCCTGCGGCATGGAGAAGGACTCGCTCTGATAGTGATCAGTCATATGAGGATCAGACCAAATCAATGCTTTGAGTCGGACCCCCCTAATTGCTTCGGAAAGAGGACACCCGGGAGCTATCTCCCCGACCATCCCCAAGAGGTTCCTCGGTAGGCAGAGATGTGGTCCACTCAAGAAAAAAAACGACTGCCATGTTCTGTAAGCAGGTTTGCACGAAAAGCTCCAGAACATCACCTCACAACCCAGTCGACGATTTAACTTATGGGTTCGAGTCGTTTTGTTTGGTCTTCTCTTCTCACCTTCTTTCGACCTCCGAAGGGAACGCATGCGACCTTTGATTCCGGACTGGCCCGAGTTTCTGAAGGGGTCCCTTTTTCCTCAGACTGGCACGGTTCCTGTTGGGTGATTCAGAGGATGTGGTCGGAACTGTCCCAATGCAAGGGAGTGTTGAGAAGAGAAATGGGAGGATTAGGTTTGCACCAGAGGTTTGTGAACCTATGACTGATGTCAATGACGTTGATCAAATATAGTTGTGATATGTTGCGATTCGAGGCTGTCCAAAAAATGTCTACTTTTCTGGGTTTTGTATCGCAGAGGATTGACTTTATTTTTGCACCCGGCCCTCTCAAGAGGGGCCCTGGCACGTTAGGGCGTGGAAAAGCGCGCCCATCTCGTTGAGGGAATCTCGTCTTACAGAGGGCCAATGGTCAATTTGACAATGTTGTCTTGTCAGTTTGATTGTGCCAAACAGACCAAACGCAGCCTTGATTTCTGTGTGTGTGTGAGTCACACCCTGTGGCTATCCTGGCTATCCTCGTTTAACTGCAGGGGATTGGCGCGCGGTCTTGGAGTCACCACTCAACGAAGACACTCCTTGTACTGCGGTGATATCGGTGATGTCTGGAAGGAACGCCTTCTGGACGTACCTGCTTTTTGTGATGTTCACAAGCTGTCACACCAATCTTCCTTAAAGAGCTAGTGCACCTGTGTTGAAACATTCCTGGTTTGCGGACTCATCACCCTACAGTACAGTTGTGCAAGTCAAGGTCTAACTTTCAGTAATGTAAAGGGCTAATGCACCTGTGAGTCACCTTCTGAACCTGCACTCATTCACTTGAGCTCTATATCTAAGTGTGTACACGTTGCGCAGCTCATTGATTGATTGAAGGTCATCATTAACATTCTGCAGGCATGTGGAAGGTCGGTGTAATAAACGGTTTACTTATCCCGTGATCTAAGTCAAGACTTGGCAGCCTCTGCCTTGGCTATAGGATCAGTTGGTTTCACCATTTCTTTGTCTTTTGTTCCAAAAGCTGCGATTTCAATTGAACATCTCGGTGCTCGATTGCTAACATGTTGGGCATCCGACTTCAATATGACTTTGAAGTGGTTTGGAGTTCGCTTGGGGGATCCGCGACAGACCAATCTACGGTGTGCCTCACCACTTGGGCACATTTGGGCACCCCGGGGCCTAAGGATCGGGGAAACTTGTGGGGAAACTTCTTGTAACTTATTGCTAGTAATAATTGGTCTTGGGCCCTTGTAGCGATGCACTTGACCGTCTGAAAACACTTGGAAGACCTCTATTGCAGCTCCTCATGCACAGGGTTCTGTGCTTTTGGGGCGGCGCCGCCGACACAGCTCGGAAGTGGGTGAAAAAGGACAAATAATATCAAAAGTTTAGAGTTTAGACATTAGTTAACTTCAGATGTGACCTTGGTTGACCTCACTTACAAATTGTTACGAAAAGAACGCCCGAAGACATTTTGAATGCCTTAGGGGCTCCGGGCTTTACTTTGACACACACACACATGCAAAAGCAAGTTTGGACATCAGTGATGGTTTCAGCCATTGGCCAAGTGCAGTTTTGCGAGACATGCCCGAGGGGGACTGCGCACACGCCAGCCATTTCGCCAACATCGCCAGTTTCGATCCCACCTCTCTGGCTCCCCGATGTGCTCCCCGACGAACCTCGGGTCGTCTGTGTTTTCCACTGGCTTTCCTTCGGGGGTTGAAGAAGTCCAGGTCGTGGTTTCCACGTCGCGGCGTCCCACACAGCAGCGACGGAGCCTTTTGCCGACTCCATGCTGCGAACCGCAGCGACTGTAGACTCTCTTTGTAGACTCTCCGGACCTGTTGTGTAAAAAAGATATCAAGACACTCATCACTCGAACGTCGGATATGAAAAACAGGATGTAGGATGTTGATTCATTTGGGTTGTTAGAGCTCGGGGTTGAATCAATAGTTTCATAAAAGTGTTTCAATGCTTCATTTCAACTGACGATTTCTTCTGGGGAATTTGAGGGGAATTCAGGCCTGGGGATTGAAACATGGGCCAACCAACCAGCCTGGTGGTCTTAGAGAAAGGGTGCCATCCGGTGCCAGTCTGCAGTACCTCGCGGGGGGTGAGGTCAAGCCCACAGAAGGTGGCCTATGACGTCATAGGCAATTTTTGATATTTTTGGTGTAGCGAAGTCGCAGGGTGGTGTATGGTGTATATATATATATATACTGTATCTATTCCATATGATTCCTCGTGAAAGCATGTTCAGCATGTTCTGCCAGCTCTCAGACTTGGAAGTCTTCTTTCAAGGTTGCAATCAGAAGACTAGAAGACTGGTGAAAGGCTCACCACTTGAGTTGAAGTTTTAACCTTCTCGGCCGAAACCCGACCGGTCGACGTTCACCTGGATGAGGTGACGATCGACGTCCGGCCGATACGAATCCCTTCGATTGATGTCTCGTCGACTGTCCGATGCGGATCGGAGCCGTGATCAGACGGAAGAGAGAGATGGAGAGAGAGATGAGAACAGAGAAGTGTAGTCTGTAGAAGATTCTGGGGGCTGGAATGGGTTTTGACTTCATGCACTTCTTTAAGTGAATGCAAGAAACTGTCTGTACTCATCTCCAAAGGTAGGTAAGTTTTGCAGCGAACGAACTGACCTGAGCAAGAGATTGTAGGGATATAAAGGTCATCCGGGCCCGAACCAAACACATAGGGTTTGGTTCGTGCCCGCGAAGAGGTCGGGTCCGACCCCTGCTATAGCTGGTATTAGATGTTGATAGATTTGATAGATGTTGTGATGTTGGAGAATC